CAGCAAGAAGGTTCCGGGTTCAACTCTCGGTCCAGGGTCTTTCTGCATGGAGTTTGCATGTTCTTCCTAAGCATGGGTGGGCTTTCTCTGGGTACTCCGGCTTCCTCCAAAAACATAACTGTTAGGTTAATTGGTTTCTCTAAATTCTCCTTAGGTGTGTTTGTATTGTTTGTCTCTGTATTGACAGGCGACCTGTCCTGGTTGGACCCTGCCTCTTGCTCGTAGATGGCACCAGCAGCCCTTGCGACCCCAACTGGGATAAGAGCGTTAGAAAATGGATAGATGGATGGGAAAAAATCATATTTACCGACCAAAGCACTTTTTGTTTTTGTTATGATTAAAATGACTATGCAAACAATTAGTCTTTTTATTTTCTTTATAACATGTCTGGTTTTGTTGTCAGTCTTAAAGTGTAACTCTTCACAAATCATTTTTTTTTTTAAATAAACTTTACAACTAGGGCCAGAGGCATGCTATTTTAATGTCACTGTGCAATCTGTTACATTATTACTGGTATTAGCTATTAAGTTAATGTTACTGCGCAACTTATGCTAGCTATCTATCTATCTATCTATCTATCTATCTATCTATCTATCTATCTATCTATCTATCTATCTATCTATCTATCTATCTATCTATCATTTTTGTTTTCTAGTGGGTTTTTTAAACCTGGCAGATTATTCTATTTGAAAAGCAAATCTAGTACTATGTCATTATTTAGTAGGTTGGAGGAGGGAACAATTATCTTACATTAGTCAATTACTTCTTGATTTAATGCAAATTGGAAAAAAAAAATCATAACTGTGACCCTTTATTTAGCTTGCAGTACAAATGGCAGCAGAGTGAGACCTCTATGTTCTCTCCTCTTAACCAGTAGTGGCAGAGGTGGGATGTAAGCCACGCGAGATTTTTCTACCATACAGAGAGCTGCAGATCGAGGTTCAGTTTTTAATCCCTTTCATCCATCTTCAGTCCAGATGTTAAAAGGGTAAAGCTGACACCAGAACGCCTAACAAATTAAACGCCTATCGATTTACGCCCTGAGATTTGATGCTGCAGTATGCTGATGTCTGCAGAGAGAAATAATCTGGGGGGAAAAAAACACAAGAACTGTCCTTTATTCCAAAAAATGCAGATAACAAATAGAAAACTTAAAATAAAGAGGTATTTCAAAATATATGGAGAAGGGCATTTGCCCTTTGGCACTAAGATACCTCAAAACCTTTTTTTACATAACAGCTACACATCTCAATAGATTTTATCAGATATTATATGGGAGACAAAGTATTTCTAAATACTGGAGTAGAAAGAAAATTATCTACAATGTTGTGCATTTATGTTCAGCCTAAATCCACTAGATTTTTGTTTATTACTGAACAACCACCATGACAAAGAAGAAGAGCATTAACCAAAGAACAAACCAAGAGCTTCATAATTTTGGATGAGCTGCAGATATGGACAGCTCAGGTGGTAGATTACTAGTTGTACACTTCACAAATCTGATGTGGGCATTATGTAAGAGTGGCAAGAAGAAAGCCATAAGCAGTCCTATTAGTGGACAGAAGAGCATTTGGAAAATCTCTCTGGTCAGGTGAGATAGGAGACTTTCATGAAGGTTCACCTACCATAGGGAAAATATTAGAATGGACCTTTTAAAGTCTACACCTGACTATATCGAGAAACTGTCTTCAGATGTAAAAACGGATGCTCATAGGTGCTCTCCATCCAATCTAAGATAACTTGAGCTTTCTCCCAGGAAACAGGCAAAATGTCAGCCTGTAGATGCACAAACCTGGGGGCGCACAACACTTAAAATATTTGAAAACCGCAACAAAGCATTAATGTTTCTGGTTGTAAAATAAATGTGTAGAGGTTAAGGTATTTTTAATACCCCTAGGAGTTTCCCCATCTACAGCTTTGAATGGATTCATTCTTTCAGAGGTTGTTTAAAGATCCCCAGCTTGAGATGTTTTTCAGTGTCTGTGATGTACTGTTCAGCTCCAGAATAGGAGCTTAGAAGCATCTGACCTTTACTTTTAATTATACACTTGTAATGTTGGATAACTGCGCTACTGTGCTGATCATCGCAAAGTTTCCAAACCTTTGAATTCGAGGTTTCACTCTGCTCGCACAGTAGGAATATGAGAATATTTAGGATTTGTGTTTTGATTCTGTAATTTTGCAGAGCTCTGTGCTTTAGTACACAGTAAACTGCCTCTTGGATGCTCGTTCACTTTCATATCTCTATTCTTCATATTGCTGCCGATGCATTAGAAACCACTTTCTTACCATTTTATTAGATTACCTTTTCTTCTCTTTGTATTGTATCCAGCCATGCAGCAAAAACAATTCCTCTCAAATAGGTAATTAAATCAAAAGTAAATCAATAGCTACAATTTTAGAGATTATAAAGTGTTGGGTCTCAACAAAGCACCACAGCAGAAGATAATTTAAGTGAAAAGTGCATAAAACATGACTTTTCCTCACTGTTTGAATATATTTTATGGTGGTTTTATTTATTTTTTATCAAGCTCTTCCAGGTTATGTTTCTTGTTTTTCTTTTCTTCATCTCATTAAAACCCTTCAAAGAAGAGCCTTTACACAACTTCAATTAATCAATATTTGGATGCTAGTTTAACTTTAGTGACAGTTCACACAGAATGAACCCGTAGGGTGAAAATTCAAATGCCTTCCCAGAAGTTTATTGATAGGAATTAGAGGAACTTCTTGAACAGGTTGAAACAATTGCCAACTACGTAGTGTTACAGGAAATCAAGTGGTTCTGAAGAACAAATTAAAGCAGCAAGTGGAGAAGAAGAGAATAATACTTAAAAATACCATGTCTGTGTCTGAATCTATATATCCAACTTTGAATATATATTTAGATGTGTGTGTATATATATATATATATATATATATATATATATATATATATATATATATATATATATATATATATATATATATATATATATATATATATATATACATATATATGTATATATATATATAAATAGGCTATTGCTTAGTTCCAAAATAATACATTTTACAATGTCAAATTAATAACCGATGCATCTCTCCCTCCTGCTTTCTCTTCTGCTTCAGCTCTGAACTGAGCTTTTGGAGAGCATAGCTGAAGATTAATGAGGGTTTCAGGGGAGTGCAGGAGCAGCGCAACCAGTTTGTGCCATAATTACAGGGAGACGCTTTGATATGAAAGCCTAATTAGCAGGGCTGCCGAGGTGCTGTTGTGTTAATTGCTGAATGGCTGCTTTTCTCTCTGATGTGCACACTACTGGACAGGTTTTGGATGGGTTTTGCCGTGGGGTGTTGAAATCTCAGTGCTAACTGTAGAGTGGAGAGCAACAGATTGAAACTAACAAATGAGAAGTTTTTTGTTGTTGTTGTTGTTTTGATTGTTTTTGTAATTATGTATATACTACTAGTATGTAGAGAAAATAACTCAAATCCCTCGTGTTTAGGGAATATAGATTCATTTAAGCCTCTGTTAAATCTTTTGAGACCCAAGCAGCGTCTGTCCAATTGCTTGCATCCAGCCTCCATGGTAACCCAAAGATATACTGGATTGTATATATATATATATATATATATATATATATATATATATATATATATATATATATATATATATATATACATTTAAAGCTTTTAAATTTGTAAATTTGTAGAGGTCTAAATACGTTGTTACTGCAATGTAAACACATACCTTGGCAGACTAACTCTGTTACTGTGTGAATAGAAAACAGGTAGGAAGTATTACAAGTTTGGAGGTGAAATCCAATAAACAAAAGGAAAGGATATAAACCAAGGAGAAGAATGAAATAAAATCAGTTTAAACCAACACTGGAAAATCATTGTGACATAATGTTTCTTTAAAATTTTCTATTAAAAGGACCCACATGCCTGAAACAGACACTGTCTGAGTACTTTCTGCTCGATTTTGTCTATTAATAAGGTAAAATGCAGATTTGCAAAGTCTATGCAAAATGTCGAGAGAGACGAGGTGTTTGAAGTTGCATTCTAACATTTTTCTTCCTCTGCTCCAGAAACCTCGTCATTTTCAGAATACTGTAAAAGAAGTTTTGTGGAGCCAAAGAGGCCAAAGGCAAGTGACTCATTCAACAAGAATGTTTTTTTAGCTTGGCTCATGGCTTCTCCATATATCTCTCCTCCCTCTTACTGTAACATCACAAGATATTCATGGTTTCTCAAGCGTTTACGTGTTGACAAACACCCTGGTGTTAAATCTTCCCATCTACAGCTGAGGAACTGTGCGAAAGCTCGCTCACTGCCAATCGGTTAATCTTTTACAGCTTCCCTGGGATCACTCTGTCAGGCGGGGTGCATTAGTCTAAATGTATTTCCTCTCTTTTTCTATTATTGTATGGTCACATCGTCCCAAGTAAGATTTACGTATGCATCAGGGAGACTTTGTAGCTTAATGTGTGCCAGGTTGCAATGCCAAAGCCATCTTTCATGATGTACCATTTGAGTCGTGACACCACTGTTATTTTAAACAATTGCCCAGAAAGAACAAAAGCTTTCACTGTGTGGTTATATAGATAACAGTTGGCAGTAGATGTTTTTGAGATCATTTCTTAGACAAAAAGTGTTTAGGGTTTGAAGTTAGCCTCACATTCTATCGATAATTAACAGTCGACATGACAGCTTCCTCCTACGTACTAGATAACAATGTCTATGGGGGTGTGTCTGAGTGTGTGTGTGTGTGTGTGTGGCACCTCCTACATAATGTATATCCCCTGACAGTGTTTTATTTCTGGGGGCCATCAAGGTTTATGGGAATCAGATGTGTGGGCAACTACTGATTGTCTTCAGCAGCATCCCACATGCATTAAAACTGGTTTTAATTCTAACATAGTAAGTACTTAGAATCATACCTTTTTTTTTCCAGTGCTATCAGGTATAGGGAGATACAGAATAAGTGAAGAGCTGTGCAGCAAGATATCTTAGAAAATGTACAGGGGTCCATTTATCAAAAAGCAGACATGCTGGAGTGGTTGGGGCTGTGTTTTCTGCTTCGATTTAGACATGTGAGGCAAAGCTGAACAGATGAACCTGCACATAAAGGGACAAAAAATAAAAAAAACATTGAAGTTTACCAGGAAATGTAGTAACAAGGTGAAAGGTTTTTTAGTGACTCGATCAATTACATTGACATTGCCTATAACCTCTTGAATTTATCTGGTTAAAAGCCAATAACTGCTGCAAGTACAGCTTTGTTAGACAATTGCAATTTCTTCCATCAGGGTCAGTGAGGGGTTTCATTTAATCTAGATCTAGAAAATCTTAGTTGCAAAGCTGTATTTCATTTATACTTTAAATTCTGCTTTTTTTTTTCTTTCTCTTTCTATCTCATGAATATATATCAAAGTTAACACATTTACTCATAAAACATTCTATTAGAGTTAAGTATAGTTGTTTTACAGTCTGAATTCAAGTTTAAACTTATAATTTAGCAAAAGCACCTGCAACCAGACTCAGATGTCTCTAAAAAGAGATTTTAATATGTCCCAGGTAAATAGCTCCCAAAGATAAATAGTTTTGTAGTTAATTACCTCGTATATGAAATAGATGTGACATAAAACCACATGTCTCTTTGTAATTTCTCAAACTTTGGAAGAGAAGGCAAAACAGTCTTAAAAAAAGACAAGATTCTGACTAATAACCCATACCATTATTGATAGTAGGCAGCTGGTGAGCTCTACCCTAAAGGGCAAACTCAAACAAACCTGGGTTGGATGGACTCAGAGGCAAGGTGCTCAAAGCAGACCATTATAGTTGTTCCATAAAGTTCCTCTTGGTACTTATATATGGATGGAGAGGAGACAGAGATGGACAGGGAGGTGAGAAAGGGAGAGGGGATAAGAAAGGGGAGACAGAAAAAGACAGAGAAAGGAAAGAGGGAGAAGCTGATTAAAAAGAGAGAAAATGAAACCAATCAGCAAAAATAAACAGTACAGTGGGTCCTAGAATCTACTTCCACACCTGTATGAGATGAGAGGGAAAGAAAACGGAGAACAAAACAACAGTGAAAAGAAGAGTACAGGCAACCAAAGTAAACTTCAAAATAGCTTGTAATGTATGTGGAAAGAAAACCTACGGTAATTACACAATATTATTTAAGGTGTTTTTTATCTGTAGCTGCAGCTTAGTATTTAATATTAGTGTGTACCTGTGAACACCTGGAACCAAAGTCCTGTGGTATGTATTTGCGAGCATGCACATATATGAAATACTTACAAAGCTTCTTCAGAGGGAAAAATGCTCTATATGAGAGCTGGGTGGCCCCACACCCTCCCAAATGGGTCCAGGACCGACGAAGAGCCAACTTTTGCTCCAGATATCCAAAGGCACCCTACATCACTAGGATACAAGGAGGGCAGACATGGGGATGGCCACACCTGCCAGAACATCCAGGGTCTGACTCCAGAGGGACCATATCCCAAAGGGACCAAGTCCCTGAGGGGCCAGACTCCAGAGGCCAAAGTGCTTGGGTGCCACAAGGCCGCAGCAGCAAGCCCACAGGCTCCACTAGTGGCCAATCATGCCAAAGGTGGACCCATGCTAGAACCCAGGGGCCCAAGCCCTGGGTGCACACCCCCCCCCAGCAGGGATCCCACATGGGCAGGAGGCTCAGGGCTGGCCGGGCAGCCACAAAGAATAAGACAGTGGCAACTGAAGTACCCAACCCCACACCTAGAGAACCATCAGTGCGCCTGCAGACACAGGCACCCCTCATCCGCAGGGAGCATAAGAAGGAATAGGAGAAGGGCCTAAGATGTTTCATTAGATGAGTGGGGAGGCAAACACTCAACCTGACAAGTAGACAAATTCACATTCATTTACTCACATTCCCAAAATCTCTCCCTAATACCTAGCTAAATACGTATACAATCCCTCAGTGGAGACACAGACATGAGCAGACACTAAACACATTCTTACACTCCTCATACATACACTATACTCCTGGGTCCCCAGAACCAGATGGAGAACCCCAGCCATCAAGTGTGGGAAGGGGGCAGGAAGCTTGGGCTCTAAAGAAAAAAAAAGCTGGGACACCACCCGAGGGAGGAGGACATAAGTACAGCCCAGGTCTGTCCCCAAACTCTGACCCAGACCCGCCCCCAAGAGGGACACCTTCCCCAAGGTGTCTCACCCATAAGTCACACTCCTGCCCCCACAGACACCAGAGCCAGTAGCCAACCTGCTGAAAATGCCCACCCCGCCTACAGCCAATCACGGTTGCTCCAGGCCCCAAACATCAATATGGACCTCTCGTACCCATTGCCACCAGGTAATCAATACTCAGGCAGTCCATCACCCTAGGTTAAATAAGGCAAGTCAGCCACCCGAGCCCAGGCGGCAGACAGGCACTGGCGTCCCCCCACCCGACTGCAGGCACAGGGTAAGTAACCTCACTGTGGAGCCAGTCCTGACAACATGGACTTGGTAGCCCAAATGGCAAACACAGGGGCTCTCATTAATGACATGGTTGCAAATCTTGGCAAGAAATTACTTGAACTTAATGTCATAAAGACAGAAGAGTTGTACTGTGTGGGCAGAGAGAGAGTGGTGAATACATATCAGCTTTTTTGAATAGCCGGGATGTTATAAGTATCCCCGATGTCCTTCCAAATGCACTGAAACCCTCCAGTGCCTCCTTCAGCTCAAAACACAGCAGGTATTCAAACTGCAGCAAAACAATTTTGATCCTGCACTGTTCACTTATAGAATCTGTTCTCACCTTCGGTATCATATCCAGAAAAAAGTTTTGATAGATTATTTGAAAATCATTTTTTACATATTAAGAAAAAATACATAATAACTTTATTATAATGTGAAAATCCTTACTTATTTATAGTAGCAATTGTAAAGATCTAGTAAATGTACCTAAAGATAGCAATCGCAATGTGTGGATGTGTCAGGAATTAAATGCTCTGCTGAACTATTCAGAACCAGAGACCCGTGCAACAAAACAGTGCAATGTTCAAATAAGTGTCATGATGGGTTCTCAAATGGAGACCCAATTATGCAGAACACCACTTGACGGACACAAGGATGAAAGTTTAACACGTTTATTATGCACAACACACAGAATGTACTGAAGACAGGTTCGGGCCTGGGTTCTGGTTTCACCGGAGTCTGCGTGAGAGACAGAGCGGTTAAGGACTGCTGACAGGATTTGATTTCCAAGTGAGCTCTGATTGTACCTTGAGGGTTCTTGAGGTTCTCTTTTGGGGAGAGTCACTGTTGGTTCTGGAGAGGTGTTTATCAGCAGAGTCCGTTTGCTGCTTCAGCGTCTCACGTCTAGCTTGAACAGACCTTAGCTTTGGATTCCCAGCTCTGGTCCAGAGCTGCTTGGAGGTTCTCAGAGAATCTTCAGGGTTTGGCTCAGAGGGTCGGCTCGGCAGGTTAGCTCTTCCTGAGCTTTCACGGAGGAGACACGGGTTTCCTGGAAACACAGAGATAGTGGTTAGAATCCAACCTGGATTCAAAGTCATGGAGATACTCAAAGATCTAGGCTTTAGCGCTGACCAACTGGAACAACACTGCGGCGTTGAGGCAAGGTCTGAAGACAGCTTATGTAGTGGATCCTCTGATGATCTTGACGAGCTGCAGCTGTGCAGGAGGCTCCCTCAGAGGATCCACGGCGGACTCTGCTGGAGAAAGATGGGATTTCTCCAGCTCCCAACAGTACCCCCCCCTCAACGACCGCCCCTTGGCGGTCCGGAAGAGGTTGATGGGCAGGAACGCTCGTACTCCTCGATGAGTGCCGGATCGAGGATGTACGAGCCTGGGACCCACTGGCGATCCTCCGGTCCGTAGCCCTCCCAGTCGACGAGGTACTGCCATCCGCGACCTCGTCGACGGGAGTCCACGATGCGGCGCACTGTGAAGGCCGGATGGCCATCGACCTCCAGGGCGGGTGGTGGGGAGTCGGACGGAGGGCACAGAGGGCTCGAGGAGACAGGCTTGATCTGGGACACGTGGAAAGTGGGGTGGATCCGGAGGGACTGAGGTAACTGGAGACGAACAGCTGAGGGGTTGATGACTCGAGAAATCCTAAAAGGGTCCGATGAATCTCGGGGAGAGTTTTCGAGACATCCCCGGGATGTCTCGAGTGGAGAGCCACACCTCCTGGCCCTCTGAGTACTCGGGGGCGGGACGTCTCTTGGCGTCGGCGAAACGTTTTGCAGATGCTGATGACTGATTGAGTGTGGCGATGGTTTCCCTCCAAATCCTCTGGCAACGGCGAATGTGATGATTGACGGACAGCATCGATATCTCTCTCTCATCTGCGGGGAAAAGAGGTGGTTGATATCCGAGACTGACCTGAAATGGGGACTGTCCAGTGGATGCAGAACGGAGAGAGTTGTGGGCGTATTCTATCCACGGGAGGTATTGACTCCAATCCAAGGGGTTATTGGAGGTGAGACAGCGGAGGGTGGATTCCAGCTGCTGGTTCATACGTTCTGTCTGGCCATTGGATTGAGGGTGGTAACCTGAAGTGAGGGATGGTTTGCAACCAAGAGCAGAACAGAAAGCCTTCCATACCTGTGAGATGAATTGTGGACCTCTGTCCGAGAGGATTTCCTGGGGAATGCCATGAAGTCGGAAAACATGTTTAATAAGTAGCTGGGCTGTCTGGAAGGCCGTGGGAAGTTTCCTGAGGGGTACTAGATGGCAGGACTTCGAGAAACGATCAACAATGGTTAGAATGGTGGACATACCTCGGGAGACAGGGAGACCGGTGACAAAATCAATGGCAATGTGGGACCAAGGACGCGAGGGAACAGGTAGTGGTTGAAGCAGGCCTGAAGGAGGTTGGTGTGAGGCTTTGTTGCGGGCACATGTGGGGCAAGCCAACACATACTCCTTTACGTCTTTGTGGAGTGTGGGCCACCAGAAGCGCCTGGAGATGAGAGCAACTGTTCTACTCACTCCTGGATGAGCGGTGAATTTGGCGGCATGCATCCACTGGATCAGACGGGACCTGACAGAAGATGGGACATAAGAACGATTAGGCGGACCGGTACCTGGATCTGGTTCTGTGGCTAGGGCAGAGTTGATAAGATCCGTTATCTCCCAGTTGACCACTCCAATGGTACATGAAGCTGGAAGGACAGGTTCAGGTGTCTCTGGATGATCGACGGAGTAGAGACGAGAGAGAGAATCGGGCTTCACGTTCTTGGATCCGGGTCTGTAGGAAATGATAAGGTTGAAACGTGAGAAGAAGATTGACCACCTGGATTGGCGAGGATTTGCCTGCTTGGTTGACTGGATGTAAGCCAGGTTCTTGTGGTCTGTCCATACAAGAACCGGATGCTCAGCTCCCTCCAGCCAATGTCTCCATTCTTCCAACGCCAACTTAATAGCCAGGAGCTCTCGGTCACCCACGTCATAGTTCTGTTCTGCGGAAGAGAGTCTACGAGAGAAGAAGGCACATGGGTGTATCTTCTGATCAGAGTCGAGCCTCTGGGAGAGAACCGCTCCAACCCCAGAATCAGAAGCATCCACCTCTAGGATGAGCTGTTTTGTGGGGTCTGGTTGTATCAGAACGGGAGCTCTAGAAAACAAGGATTTGAGTTTCTCAAAGGCGGCTTGAGCCTCGGGAGTCCACTGAAAAGTTCGTTTAATGGAAGTCAGAGAGGTTAATGGAAGGGCGGTTTGACTGTAGTTTCTGATGAATCGACGATAGAAGTTAGCGAACCCTAAAAACCTCTGTAGCTGTTTTCGGTTTTCAGGAACTGGCCAGTCTAAAACTGCTTTGATCTTGTCTTCTGAAGGTTTTACCTGGCCGCCCTCGAGCACAAGCCCCAAAAAGGTGACTGAAGGTTGATGGAATTCGCACTTCTCGGCTTTCACGAACAGTTTATTTTCCAGTAGTCTCTGTAAGACAAGACGGACATGTCTCTTGTGTTCCTGAAGGTCCTTGGAATAGATGAGAATGTCATCAATGTACACAAAAACAAACACGTTGCGGAAATCTCTGAGAACATCATTAACCAAAGCCTGAAAGCAGGCAGGAGCGTTTGTTAAACCGAAGGGCATCACCAGGTATTCGAATTGACCCAAGGGTGTCTTAAAGGCAGTTTTCCATTCATCACCCTCTCGTATCCTAAGGAGATGATAGGCGTTTCTTAAGTCCAGTTTGGAAAACACTGTTGCACCCTGTACAGGTTCAAAAGCAGAGGCGAGAAGAGGCAGTGGGTATTTATTTTTAATTGTGATCTAATTCAAACCTCGATAATCAATACAGGGTCTCAGGGAACCATCCTTCTTGCCCACGAAGAAGAAACCGGCGCCCAATGGAGAGGATGAAGGGCGA